CGCTGGACGGCCGACTTCACCCACGAGCTCTTCCGCTTCGCCCTGGAGTGTGAGTGTCAGGGGCACAAGTCTCTGCAAGAGATGTGTCCCCCCCTCTCCCCGAAACACCCCTTTGCAGGGTGCCTGAGGTGGGCAACACGTGTTTCCCCCAGCTTCATCCTCAGAGATGGGCAAACAAGCTTCTCCCCCAAAGCCGTAGGGTCTAGAGGGATGTCCTCTCTCCAGACAAGTAGAGAACAGCTCAACACGGGGAAGTTCAGGCTAGAAATGAGGAGGCATTTCTTCACAGAAAGGGTCATTAGGTGTTGGAATGGGCTGCCCAGGGAGGTGGTGGAGTCACCATCCCTGGAGGTGTTTAAGAAAAGCCTGGACGTGGCACTTAGTGCCATGGTCTAGTTGACATGGGGGTGTTAGGGCAAAGATTGGACTCGATGATCCCAAAGGTCTCTTCCAACCAAATGGATTCAGTGATGATTCTGTGAACACTGTTGATAAAATGCTGTTTTATCATCTACCGGTCATCAACAGGTAGCCAGCCCTACCCAACAAGGGATGCCTTCACGGCCCTGTGATGCTCAGAGCGAACAGGAGGCCAAGCCAGGTCCCTGTAGCCAGGGAAAGGCTGGAGTTGCCCATCGGAGGTGGAGGGGATGGGGACGGGGTCCCTCCTTGGCCGGGTCCCCTCACAGATGCTCTGCTTGCAGCCGTGTGCCATGTGCTATACGGGGAGCGACTGGGGCTGCTAGAGGACTTTGTGGACCCCGAGGCTCAGCGCTTCATCGACGCCGTGACCCTGATGTTCCACACCACCTCACCCATGCTCTACCTGCCACCCGCCCTCCTCCGCCACCTCAATGCCAAGACGTGGCGGGACCATGTCCAGGCCTGGGATGCCATCTTCTCCCAGGGTGAGTGCTCCTCCTGTCCACATCTCCCTGTGTCACCCAGGGCCCCTTTGATGACTTGGCTCCATAGTGCAGCTTCATCTCACCAGCGCTGAGACCTTCTCGGGGGTCCAACCACCCAGCACAGGGTCACCAAGGCCCAGAAGGCTTTCCACATCTGGAGACTGTGGGATGGAGCAGTGGGGAACCATCCAGAAGCGAGGAAGGGCAGATGATGGGCATCACGTTGAGGGGAGCAGGTCTCCCAGAGGGGCTTGTGGCATCAGAGAGCTTTTGGCACCTGGGACAACCTTCCTGCAGGGTGTCCCCCACCGTGGTACACCCTCACCCCCCACCCTCTGTGCCCACCCAGGGACTGCAGTCCCAAGCCTCCACAGGGGCAGCTCCCATGGAAAAGCCATCGGCATGGGACAGCAATGTCCTAAGGTGCCACACCTGGGGGAGGAAGGCCATGCCGTGTCTCCGTGTCTCCTCAGCGGACAAATGCATACAAAACGTCTACCGGGATCTGCGGTTGCAACGCAAGAGCACCAAGGAGTACATGGGCATCCTCTGCAACCTCATCATGCAAGACAAACTGCCCTTGGATGACATCAAGGCCAGCGTCACCGAGATGATGGCGGGCGGGGTGGACACGGTAAGGAGCAGGCAGGGTTGTTGGGCAGGGAGAAGGTCCTGGCTGGTGTTGAGCTTTGTTCCCCTGCCCCTCTCCAGACCTCCATGACGCTGCAGTGGGCCATGTTCGAGCTGGCACGGTCCCCGGGGGTCCAGGAGCAGCTGCGGGCAGAGGTCCTGGCTGCCAAGCGGGAGGCAGCCGGGGACAGGGTGAAGATGCTGAAAACCATCCGGCTGCTCAAAGCTGCCATCAAGGAGACGCTCAGGTGAGGAGCAGCTCCCACTGGAAAAACACCCCCCAGCCCCTTCCCTCCCCAAATCACTGGTACTGCTGAGATGTCATGCATCGAGGTGGGATGTGGGTGGACCAGGCTGGCCCCAAAATCAGGTGCGTGGGACCTGTCCTCCCCCCCAGGCTGCACCCCGTGGCGGTGACCCTGCAGAGGTACACCACTCAAGAGGTCATCCTCCAGGACTACCGCATCCCCCCCAAGGTGAGCACGGCCACCGGGTCCATCCTCCCCCCGAGTGACTTCGCATGGGGCTCTGGGTGGAGGTGGGACCTGACGGGTGGGTGACAGGGTGGGGGGCAACCGTGGGGCTCATCTGCCGCCGGATACCATCCCTGCACCCCGAGCACTGGCAAAGCTGCATGGGAAGCCCAGACCCACGGGGCTGATCCTTCCCCACAGACGCTGGTGCAGGTCGGTCTCTATGCCATGGGCCGGGATCCTGAGGTCTTCCCCAAGCCGGAGCAGTTCAGGCCCCAGCGCAGCCGGCCCCAAGCACTTCAAGGGGTTGGGGTTCGGTTTCGGACCCCGCCAGTGCCTGGGGCGCCGGATCGCCGAGCTGGAGATGCAGCTCTTCCTCATGCAGGTGAGCATCCTGCTGCTGGGGACACCGGGGACTGGGTGCTGGGAGGGACCAGGGAGGTGGCACCTGCGTGTTGGTACCTCCAGCGTTTTCCATCCGCTCTTTTCTCCTCCATCCCAGATCCTGGAGAACTTCAAGATTGAAACCATGAGAGCGGTGGAAGTCGGGACCAAGTTTGATCTCATCCTGATCCCAGACAAACCCATCTACTTGACCTTACGGCCACTTGAGTCCCAGGCGTAAGGAACCCCATCCTGGGTGACATCCAGCCGATCCCGGTTTGGGGGACACCCCCAACAGCCCGGCTGGTGCTTTTGGCTCCGTACAGCCCGACTCCGGCCCGGGGATGTGATTTGGGGGACGGCTGGGACGCTTTCACGGCCACAGCCTTGGCTTGGCACATCCCTGCCTTCGCTCCAGCCCACTCAAGGCTGCGCTTACGCCACGGGGGAGATAAACTGGAGCAACCCCAGCCCCCCCCCCACCCATGTAACAGAGTGTGGGGTGGGGGGGTGCTGCTGCACCCCTCCAGCTGCTCGGGGGTCCCCAGGGACCACGCTGGGGACCGCGGCCATGCTCCTCCAACATCCTCTAATGTTTTGCTTTGCCTCTGATTTACTCTGTACTTTCACCATGTGAGAAAGCACTGGCTCCTTTTTGCCAGCCTTAGGTTTCTCCGTCTCTCTTGCCGGGCGCAGGCGAGGGCAGGGGGGCCAG